CTCCTCCTCCTCCCCCTCCTCCTCCTCCTCCCCCTACTCCTCCTCGACCAAGAAAGCAAGAGTTGTGGGGCGGCGTGCGAATCAGAGGCGCTCGGCCCCCGCACGGCTTTTGGTCGAGAGTTACGGCGGTCCGAGGCGTGAGTGAGTGAGTGGGTGAACCTGCGGCAGTGCTCTGCCCACGCCGCGCCGGCCACGTCACACGCGCGTCAGCCGCGTCACTCAGGCGAACCGTGATGCAGATCGCCGTGGAGTGCGTTCGATCTGCGTGGCCCGGCCGCACCCGCGCCATCCCAGGCTGCCGCGCTGCGCAAACAAGTAAGAGTGACCGCCTCACTCACCTCCGTGTGTAGGCCCGTTTAGATCTTTAAAGGCTTCTGCACAAAACTGTCAGATTTTGCTGGCAGATTTGGCAGATAGATTAGGTAAACAGTATCGTTCAAAAAATAAATTAAAGGGGTCGCTGGGCAGTATGTACCTCGGCGTTTTTAGGCCCCCTCTCACTTAGAAAAGCAGTTAGTTCTTAGGCGCAAAGAATTTTTATTTACCTTCATGAAAATTTCATCGCAGAAATCAAAGAAACGATTTTCGTTAGGATGACGATAATTTTTATTCAACACTGATAAACTAAGAGTCCAACTGCTCAACACTTGAAAGTGTGCAAGTGCAAGTTTAATACTTGCAGGTGTACAGCTCCACACACTGTAAAAATTTTAGTCGTTCCAGTGACGACAATGTTAAGGCTAATTATTTTTACAAAGAAGTCGTTCCACACAAAAACAAACTTGTCGTTAACTTTACAGGATTCTTGTCATTTGTTTTGGAACGACATTTCTGATAATGAAAGAATCGTCATTAGTCATTGATGACAAAGTCATTTATTGACGACCTACTTGCCTATTGACGGGAGGTTCATTATTTCTTTATTTTATATTATTACAGGCTTATAATGCTGCACTAGAGAAGATTTAGTGCATGGGTGAGCTTTAAGGTAACAAAGAAGGCTCGCTGCTCTAAATGGAGATCAAGTATTCTTTATTTCATAAGTATCAGTAAATATACATCACGTTACATAGCTAGTCAAACAGTTACATTTTGAACAACCTTCATCAAATATGTGACAGCGTTGCCCTGCAGTGCTTTGCCACAAATAGATTGCCGTGGTTGAAGGAGGCTTTTTAGTGCTGTCTACGTTCGGTTGTCATGCTGTAAATAGTTTCACTCATAATAATAAACCATGTTAAGGAAAGGGACAAAAAATTTGGAATTCAGATACTTTTGTATTAGATTTTACCTGTACTTCTTGTAGGCTTGTAGTTGCACATGCAGAAACAGCAGTCCAAGTCCTTATTTGTGCTGGGCTATGCGTGAACAGTTACTTCTGCGTTTCAAAATCATACTATGCTGTAAAAGAGTACCAGTGTATTAGCGGCAAACTGTGTTCCAAATAAATTTAGTATCAAGGACGTGACATTCTAGATCTCTTACCAAACTTCAAGAGTCAGTGCAAATGTATTATCTCCTTGCTCGATTTCTGGTCCTTAGTGCAGATTAGGTTAGGTTCCACTGGAAAATGATAGATAATGTTAAGGGCTCAGATTGTTGGTATCAGGCAAAACGCGGACAAAGCAGTGTTAACAGAAGGCTCACATATAAATCAGATAGTTTTGAAATCATGAGAAAATGTCTTACCAGGATTGAAATTTCTGATCTCGTCGTCGGGTTTGTTGTGACGTGAAGTACCTAGTTATTAGCAGAGCTCCGACGCCGAGCAGACGACCTGTCGCGTCACCCTATTTGCAGCTGCAGCAGCCACCACATCACAACAAACAAACACACAAAAAAAACCAAGTGTTCAGTGCTCAGAATTGGAAACTAAGTCATAAATACTTTCAACAATCTACTGCCTTCCGTAAAGACACGCGATATTGGTCAGCTCCTTCGTAAAGTGTTAGAAGCCCTATACGTGTACAGTGTTGAGGTAAATCGATGATAAATAATCTTGCTCGCCCATTGAAAACATTTCCATATCTGCTCAAACAAGCTTTGAAATTATGGTTACCATCTTTTTCTTCTGTTTACTAAAAGACAACAATTTTGTCAAAATGATGAAATTGTTGTAGACCTGCTGTGACAAGATAATTGATAAATGAATAGAATTAAAATCTCGTTACTTTTAGGATATGTATTCTACAACATTGTCGTGACAACTTGTCAAATTGACAATTAGTGTCGTTACTGTTAATCCCTCTAGTGTTTACAAGAGTGTCGTACCAATATTGTGATTTGACGAGTACTTCATCACAATAAATTTACAAAATGTTTGTCAATGTGACAATGTTTTCTCATCCTAATTCCTTGACAAGATGTTCATCAATGATTTTCTCGTAAAATGACAAGAATTTTTTACAGTGCAGTCGTACACTTGCAAGTGTTCAACTCAGTAGGTGTACAATTGCAAGTGAACAACTTCTCGGTTGAACACTTCCTTTGATTTAACGGTCACTGTGTAGGAAGTGCTAAACCGAGGAGTTGCAGACTTGCAAGTGCACACCTACCGAGTTGAACACTTGAAAGTATTCAACTTGCAGTACCACACTTGCAAGTTTTGAGTAGTGGAACACTTAGTTTATCAGTGAACTCAACAATTTTTTTGTCAAATTAAAAAAAAAGATGTTTGTCAAATTGATAAAAAGATTGTTAAGAAAACATTTTTAGAAAAATTTGTTACAACCAAAATTTCATAGGTTTCGGCTAAAAGATATGATTTTCTGAGTTCTCCCCCGCCCCCATCTCTCTCTCTCTCTCTCTCTCTCTCTCTCTCTCTCTCTCTCTCTCTGCAGCTCATGCTCGCTCTCATTCCTCCCGCAGGAGCAGGTCCCTTATGGGCGGTCCCTACGTGACCTGCTATACGCAGTGAATAACACGCTGCGATGATAGACCGTGATCAGCTCCCCCCCGGTCCCCTTCCCCCCCAGGGTTCCCCCGTTCCGAACATGGAGCCGCCGTGTCGCTCCCGCTGATTGTGATTGGAATATGGATTGACGCTAATCAGGCGGGGAGGTCTAAATGAAACGGCTACACTTGCACGCGGCGCTGCAAATATAAACCGCAAGCGGCTCTTTGCATGAGCCCCGTCCCTCCCCCTACCCTCTTTCACTTTACCAATTGCAACACAAGAAATAAATAAAAAAGGCAAACATACAACTTGCACTTTTGTATACTGTTTTGAAATATTTTGTGATTTCCCAACAATAGCTCGATACGGAGGAGCTTTGAAATCACAACACGTCTTGGTAGTCGTGTACATTATTCCTTTCCTAATTTGAAATAGTAGTGGACCAAATGCATACTTTTAAGGTTAATCAATTTTTGATAACGAATGAAGGAGAGTCGTGATTTCCCAACAAATCACGAAGAGTCCTGGCAATTTTTCTCAGAACGAATTATTCGTGAAGTTCTGACCTTTCTTTGCCAGTGTAGCATATTAGGTGATCGGGTTTTTAGGGGGGGAAATATGAAAAACAAATCATCATTAGGTATTAAACTGTTAAACATCGTACACATTTAAATCAAGCCGAAAATCCTTTTGTCATTATTTGAGAGCATTTTTTGTCGGGAGAAATTAGTTTTCTAAGCGTGTTCTTTCACTCTTGTTCCTTATATTATTTTTTGTCAGTGCTTGTGTGTGACCTGTACGGACTTAAAAGTCGACTGAGGTGAGGTTTGAAGCGCGTGAAGGTGTTGTGCTTGGCGTGGGACTCTCACGGGTGGGGCCTTTATGGTCGTGACTACGGGCCACTTTGCGACGCACGGCGTAAAAATAGAGCGGTAAGTAGTAAGTGGAGTAGATGAGACTGTCCGTCCGCGAAAGGAGCGGACTAACCGCCTCGCTTCTGCCCCTCTCCGTACCCCTACCCCCGACCCGACAAACAGCCCAATTTGAGGCTCATACTACACTCCTCATATCGTAAAGCGACCGGCCGCTTGGCTCAACGCGAAAGGCCACGGCGATGTCAATCTGTTCGCTTGTGTCTGTGTGCGCGCGTTCGACCTCCACCCAACGCCTTCACCCCCCTCCTCCCTCCAACTCTTCGAAATTCGTAGCCCACTTCCCAAAGCACAACATGTTAGTTTTTCCAGTGTGTTTTTGTGTATGCCAAAAATTTTCAAAATTTGAAGCAGTAAGTACACAAGGAATGAGGCCAAGGACATATGTTTACAAAAATCAAGATTTGTCGGGTTTCTTTACTTCCAGGCACAGTCCACATTTTCTTTGTGTTGCGCCTCAAGTAGAGGAGAGACGCAATTAAAACACACTGAGGTGCACTCTAATTATTCTTGGTATCAATAGCACTTACGGTCTAATTTTGGACAGCTTTAATTTTCTGGAACATTTAGAAGCAAGATAACACAAATTTCGGGAGAACCTTTTTTTGGATCCCTGGTGTAGATGTGGGTTAACTTTGATGCATCACATTTACTGAACGGTTCGAGCTAAAATATGGACTTGTGCTCACTGGATTAAGCGGACAATTTTCTTCGCGAACCCACACCTCAATCACCCGCAAAAAAGTTCTGGCCCATTTTCCCCAAGACGGTTTACAAATTTCGTCGGTCCATTCTCCATTTGGAGACACCTTAGTCGAGATGGCAATCTCGGGCAAAAACTCTAGTTTTAATGCAAAATACTGAAAATGCCTGCAAACCACTTATTTTGCCCACAGTTCCGGAAGTATACTGTAAAAAATTGTCGTATCGGGCACAGGAAAATTTTCCATGTAAGAAGTCGTACAATAATAATTTAAAATTGTAAAATTTATAAGCCCTACGTATCCATTTGGAATCGAATAACGAGCGAAAGTAGGAGGTTGCACATGTACGACTCGTTTTGTAATGGCAAATTACTAAATATATCGTACATGTACGAACAATTTTTTCACAGTGTCGATATATTACGGCCAAACGCTTTCTGGCACTTTTTACAATTGAATTCAGGAACATATCCACCAAATATCAGCCAATTCGGACAGCGTCTTAGTTAACTTTATTGCTACATCGATGAGTAGTTCGCGGGGTTTCGAATCATCATCTAGATTCAAAGTAGGTGGTGCTATTCGTGTGTGCTTCGCCGTGTAGCCCGTTACGTCACAGGCGTGCGCTAGTTCGCGGGGTCCTGTTCAAATTCTCCGCGCGCGCGAGGGCGCCGCACACGCGACGTTATCTCGAAAGCGAAATCGAATCTGGCGGGGCATAGTGATCGGCCGAGACTAATTTCGGACCGAGCAGGGCGAAGCCTTTTTTTTTCGTCGGTCGCTCGCCCACAAATGGACCCGAAGCAGCAGCGCGAGCGCTCTGTTGTGGTGATGCATGGCGCTGCCGTCACTCCACTCCCACTCGCGACACACACGGATACAGACGTAACTGCCGTCGGAGGGGCACCGAGTTGCGGCGGTTCTCGTTTCAAACGCGCGGCAGATTTCGCGCGCCCCCGAGGACGACGCCGACGACGGGCTGCGTCGGCGCGGCCAAGGTCACCCAAAGTGATCTAACTGTTTCGTCTGCTGTGCTAAGCACCACCACGGCGTCGCCCAGGCGATATTCAAGCCTCGAGTTTGGAAAGCAAAAAGGAGGAAGGGGACGCCTGCCCCCACCCCTTTCTCGCGACTCGACCCACGCGCCGCACGCACACACTGGCGCGCGCTCCCAGTTTAGTGGGCCTCGGGGACGGTCCACGGGACGGTCCCTCCTCCTTGTCCGATTCCATTCATTGTGGGCCAACAGCCCGAGACGCCCACGACGCCTTCTAGCGCCATCTCACTACAGCGGTCCCCGCTTTTGCGCCGATAAGCGAAGGAGCTCTTTCGATATTGTGCTATGGAATGGGCCGCGAGTAAAGAGTGGGGGAGGGGGCGGCGAAGGGAATCGATTTTATTTCATTCGCTTTATCTCGTTAACCGTGGGAGAAACATATCACACCCGTCGAGTGACTCTCCAACAAAACCATAATAGTATTGTTACCTTTTCTTTCGTCGATGGCTTGTATTCCGATACTTTACTTTTGAAGGTATGGTAATAGGCAATGTCGCGATGCTGCGTTCACGTTCACTCCTTTGTCCACTTACTTCGAGGATGTAGTCACTCTCGCGAATCCACTCTGTTTAGTATATCGAAATCTTCTACTTCCTTGACTGTTGACAATGTACGCACTTATTTAGTTATTGATAGGGTAGGTTAATACAATTACGGCCGTTTTGGATAAATAAATAATGTGGTGCAAAGAAAATGGTTCTGCTGTCAAATTTGTGTGGGTGTAATTAAATGCGCGCCCTCGCAATGAACGTTCGCACGCAGCTCCGATGCATTATTATCATTCTGGACGGCGATTGATCTGCATGCAAATATACTTGCCCGATAGAGCTTTAATCGTGCACTGAGTGTGTCTCATTGAGATGAGGCACAGAGAAAGGAGCGCGGTGCGGCAAGAGTTCTCTGCTTGGCGGGCCTCGAGCAGAGGCCAATAAGAAACGAATAATATACAATTGTAATTTTTCATTCTCATTTCCCTGTTGGCGGGGCCGGCCGGCTCGCCCGCCGCACACCGACCACGTCGTAAGAAGGCGCGCGGCTGCATTTATTTTGAACGGTAATGAGGCGGTGTGCTTGCGGTAAGTGCCGCGCCGGTCCGATTGGGTTTTGATGGAGGCGACTCACTTGACCGCTGGACCGTGCGCTGCTGCCCCGCGCCGCCGCCGACCGCTCCCGATCCTCCCGCGGCTAGCTGGGCCGGGCTGG